ATGTTGTGTAATAAGTGGTTTGACTGCACCGTTTCCCTTAAATGTCCGTCTAGTTTGAATTTGCCGCTTGCTCGCAACTGCTGTCTTCACGGAAGCTTTGCGTTCAAATATTTCAACTCAAGTCAATATTTCGCGTCTAATTATTTACTTATGTGGCAAGTAGCCATGTAATAAGCGGGATAATGTACATCCAGTCGGTTGTTATCTCCTAATAAACCCCTTCAGGCTGATACAAGACCCCTCCGCTTCGCGTCAGGGTCCTGATCACCCTGTCGGGGTTTATTCTGCGATAACAACCGGCTGGATGTACATTATCCCTTACTTATACTCTTTAAAGTCATCAGTATGAATAAGGATGATGTATTTGTATTATTTAAGTAACTTGGTACAGCTATTTATAAAAAATGTACAAGATTACATTAGAATTTTAGAATGTATATAAAGGATATTTTGAGAATGCATCATTGCACGTCATCTCGTAATGTATTAAATACGCACTCGAGCATGAATAACTAGCACGAATGACACATTTATACATCATAAAGACATTCTAGACTAATTATAAAAATGTACTAACAAGAACATAAACATTCTGTTAAAAAACAATCAGATGCAGCTGGAAACAAATGAAATATCATGATTTTGAAAGCTATTAAGACAATAAACATTGTGAGGGTTTCATTTAAAATAACGTGAAACATGACAGGTTTCTTTTGACTGCTCTCAGTCTGTATGAGCAAATTCTTAAAGGTACATTCTGGAACAATAGGCCCATCAGTCCTAATGTAATAGGGCTTCTCTTTAAAAAGGAACTCTTATTCTCATGACAGTGAAGAGTGTGTAAAACGGCGCTGAGCAGGTGACCAGGCATACTTAGCGTGCTGGAGAGAAAGAGAGTCAATCCAACTCACCCGCAGAATTTCCTCCACACAATTGGAGTCGTTGGGCAGGCTGACCTGTGGAGAAATGGATAAGAAATCTCTCATTAAAAAGGTTACAATGAATGTGTACAATGAATCCTAGTGCGCACCCTTGCTGTCTACATACACAACTGACTTCTAGCAAAGGCAGCATTGTAAATAAAATGGAAGCTCATAAGTAACTGATTGGAACTGCAAGTCCATATGCCACACAAATTGCGTTATTTACATGTGCTTAGGTGACTTGACACACGATTGACTCCAACAAAGCTTGGCATTGCTGACTTAACTACTGTATATTAAAAATACATAAAATAAAATAAAATAAAATAATAAAATGTATTTAATATACATTTGTATTTAAACAATGTATTTCATAAAACCAAATTATTTTTATTATTATTTTGTAATTAAATATTAATAAAACAAAATAAATTAAATAAATTAATAAATGTATTTAATATACATTTGCATTTATACAATGTATTTCATAAAATTTAATATTTTTTCATTATTGTTAATTGAATATTAATAAAATAAAATAATAAATGTATTTCATATACATTTGTATTTAAACAATGTATTTCATAAAAAAACATTATTTTTTATTATTTGTAAATAAATATTAATAAAATAAATAAAATAAAATAAAATAAAACTGGAATACATTGTTGCAAAAATGACAGAATAATAATTTTAATGATTGTGTAAATCAATATTATTTTATAAAGTTACATATATTGCATACGTGCATATACATATGATTAGAAAACAAAATCAGAAAATCAGAGACCAGAAAAATACAAAGCTTGCTTTGATGTTACAGCCAATAAAAAAAAATAAAAAAAAAAGTTTTATAATTCATAATAAAATTAGGTATCTGAAGGCTGAACGCCTAAGCAATGCATAAATAAATAAATAAATCAATCAACCAATGAACTATCTATCTATTAAATGTTTTATTTTAATTGGACAAGAGGAAATATAGCGGCTAAAATATCTCATTAGTGCATCATAAATGTGGGCTCAATGAACTGGCACAATGGGAGTGATCAGGTTCATTCTGGGACAGGCAAGGTGTTTGTCCTAAACGAGGTATCTTCGAAGGCAGCAGCTCACTGGGTTTCGGAACAGAGCAAAATGCTTCCTGCCAGAGCTGAAATTCTCAACGAAAGTCCCACAGCACACCTTTGAAGATTGATTAGTTGTGAGATGACATCATAATTGAGTGTCTCAGAAGAGGACGCTCTTGGATAATGGAGGCTCACGGTTCTCACACCAACGCCTCTCAAACGCAGGCTGGGAATTGGATAATCACCAGCTTGCATCTGAGCATCATAAGGCATGGAAATGTCAGCGAGTAAGCATGTAACCACAATGATTCTCCGACACTTAACAGACAGAAGATGAGAATACTAATTAAGGGCTAGCAAGGCCCCTGTTGACTAATAGACTGCAATTGGCACAACACAAGAGACCAAACGAATTATAATTGCAAATGCATTGCACGGTAAATCATAGATGTTATATTTTCTCTAGAATTAACTAGTTCATCTTTGAAGGTTTTTTTTTTTTTTTGACATGAAGACATATGAATACAGATTGGACACATAAAGCTCTAAGCACTTCCAAATCTCTCTTGAACGCAGAGGTTTACATATTCATGTCCAGACAATAATCTGAATAACATCTACTTTACATTCTCTCACACTGGCCAGAAATATCATGAGCGCACACACACACACACACACAGCTATAAGTATGGTGACAGTTTAATAATTTCAACTAACTTTCTCATCAAGAATCTCTGTAAACTGTTGCTTCAATGACAGTTGTTGATCTGAAAGAGAAAACTGACAGATTTATATTAAATATTCACTGTATATTTGTGATGTTTGTTCCTGATATTTAATTAAGCAACATCACGAATAGCAATAATTTTAAAATGTGTGTTTTGTCATTAGATTTTCCAAACCACTTATCCTCTGGGTTGCACACATAAAAAATTATTATATATTATTTATTAGTATTCATTAATACTAATGGTTCATAAATTAGAATGTATTAGAATTGTTACTACATTTTAATTTCTGCTAAAAAAATATTTCTTATTATCAATGTTGAAAAATAAAAATTAAAAAGGTAAAATGTTGTACTGCTTAATATTTCTGTGAAAAATGTAATACACTAACATTCAAAAGTTATTTAAATAAATTATTCAGCAATGATGCATTAAATTAATCAAAAGTTACAGTAAAGATTAGTGCTGTCAAACGATTAATCGTGATTAATCGCATCCAAAATAATAGTTTTTGTTTACATAATATATGTATGTGTACTGTGTAGCCTATATTTATTATGTTTATATAAATACACACACATGCACACATGTTTGGCCCATTTGGACCTGGGGATTTATGGAGTACTATTAGGAGAGCCAAACACTTTTGCAAAATATATAATATTTTAGCTGTTATATAAAATATATAGCTGTTATTCCCATATCTCACATATCTCCAGTTTTGATGATAAACAGGAATTTGTATGCCTATTGACGAAACATTGCATTATTTTTTTTATCTGAAAGTGAAAGTTTATGCACAAAAAAACAAAAACAAACAAATGACAAAAACAACAACAAAACATTTATTTTATTTGACAACTTTTTAGAGTAATATTTATGTTGTTTTGTTAGAATTAAACATGTAGGTGTCATAAATTTTGACTGTTTTTGAGCAATCGTGCGTTATAAATTCAAAAGAATTTCATAAAAAATGAGTTATATGTTCTTACAACAATGATACATTAAAAAAAAGGTTTCTCACATATTGCATAATAGCTTTTTTTTTGTCATTTTAAAATGTCTAGAATTTTTCACATTTTGGATAAATCAAAAGGGGGTAACTGCAGCAAAAACATGGTAATAACATGGAAACACTGAAAACTGGAAAACATTCACCCATTAATGAGAAATTGATGATCAGATACAATGTAGTTTTAGATTAAAAATATTAAGTAATGACTGTTTTATAAAGCAACAATTTATATACAGATTTTGAATGCACTATGAAGGTTAAAAAATAAAATAAAATAATATAATATATATATATATGAAGAGTTTGGTTCCAAAACGCAAATTTGATTAATTTGATTCTTTACCAAGAAAGTGGCAAGATGAAAACCACTATTTTCTGTTTCAAACTTTCACATAGCATCTTTAGGTTATAATAACATTAACAATTCAAATCCAGATTTTGATTTTCAAAGATTTATTATAAAATTGTATTATTTTTTTCCCAAAATGCACTTTTTTTTATTCAAAATGCAATAAATCCTTTGAATCAATATAAAAGTTATTTTTCACATTGAAACTGTTGAAAATACACAACAAAGTAAGTTGATCCACATATG